GCGAAAGGAGAGCAGCCCTTCTCCGCGTGTACCTCTAAAATGGCGTCCGAGGCCGAAAAGAAAGAGGGCGGCGCCTAGCAAACTCCTTCCGGCCACGGAGGGGCTTTAGCGCGTTTATAGCTGTCTAGAAAGTGCCTGACTGAAAAAAAATTGATATTCACATGAGGAGGGTGTTTTTTTCCCTTTTAGAAATGGGAGAAGAACGATGGCCTCCTCAGATATAAACCGTCGTCTTTTCTTTTTAGTTTAATCCCCATATGGAAGCAGGCAATTATGAAGCCAGATTGCGAAGGACCCCATGAGGCAAAAAGGTGGGCGATGAATAATAGTGGGCAGGGCGTAAGAGGGTAGTAGTGGGCGGGGCTTATGCAGGGGTCGGGGGTCAGCGTGGCATAGTGGTTTGAGCGTTGGACTCTGATGCTGGAGTCCTGGGTTCGATTCCCGGCTTAACCTTTGAAACTAAGGGCCGGTGCAGACTGCCAGAAATAATCCAGTTTGAGGCCATTTTAACTGCCTTGTCTCAATGCTAGGGAATCATGGGGATTGTAGTTTTCTTCTGAAACATTGAGCCTTCTGTCAGAGAGCTGTGGTGCCACAATAAACTACAGTTCCCATGATTCCCTAGCACTGAGGCAGGGCAGTTAAAGTGGCCTCAAAATGGATTATTTCTGTAGTGTGTTTTAGGCCTTAGGGCCTGAACAGACTGCCAGAAATAATCCAGTTTGAGACTGCTTTAACTGCCCTGGTTCAGTGCTAGGGAATTCTGGGAATTGTAGTTTATTGTGGCCCCAGAGCGTTCTTGACAGAGACGACAATGCCTCACAAAACTACAGTTCTCAGGATTCACTAGTACTGAGCCAGGGCAGTTAAAGCGGTCCCAAACTGGTTTATTTCTGCAGTGTGTTTTGGACCTAAGTAGGTTATCTTGGACATTTATCACATTCTTAAAGTCTCAAAGGATGTCAAAGTCTGTGAGCAAATCTTGGCAAGAAAACCCCATGGCCTTAGTGGTGGCCATTTGTTGGAAACGAATTGAAGGCACACAACAACAACAACAACAAAGGTCCAAAACACAGTGCAGAAATAATCCAGTTTGAGTTCGCTCTAACTGCCCTTGCTCAGTGCTTAGGGAATCCTGGGAATTGTAGTTTACTATGGCACCTCTGAGCTCTCCCTGACAGAGAAGGTTAAATGTCTCACAAAATGTTTGATGTAAGCTTTCGAAGCTCCAATGGCTTCTTCATCAGGAAAGGTGTTAGAGATTATTATTATTAAATAATGATTATTATTTCTTATCCATCTCTTCCCAGGGATCAGAGTGCAAGACAACAAGAATTAACAAACAACAACATCAGTTAAAACACATCACTTAAAACACACACTGATTTAAAAGGACAAATAAGAGGTACTCTTATATTAAAACAATCCATGTCTAAGAAAACATTCAGGGGTAGCTGTGTTGGCCATTTAGCAAATTAAAACAAAAATCCATCAGTGATATCTTTATTGGCCAACCAAAATGCACAATATATTTGTTGCAAGCTTTTGAAGCTCCTTATAAATTCGTCAATTAAAATTCACAAATTTAAAAATCATCTGGATAAAATGACCATGTTAGCCACAGGCTTTTCTCAAAGTGGCTACATTTGTTGTTGTTGTTGTTGTTGTTGTGTGCCTTCAAGTTGTTTCTAACTTATGGTGACCCTATCATGCGGTGTTTTTTTCTTGGCACGTTTCTTCAGAAGGCTTTTTTTTTTCTTTTGTCATCCTCTAAAGCTGAGAGAGTGTGACTAGCCCAAGGTCATCAGTTGGTTTCCATGGCTGAGGCTGGATTCGAATCCTAGTCCAATGCCCAAACCATTACGCTATACTGGTCCTTGTTGGCCATATAGCAAAGAACAATAGCAACATCCAAAATCCACAAAACAGGGATACCTTTATTTTGCCAACCAAAATGCACAAAGTAAATGTCACAAGCTTTCGAAGCTCCACTGGCTTCTTCATCAGGCAAAGGCATTAAGAATCATACAGGGGGAAAATAAAACAAAACAAAATGACAATGTTAAACGCAAGCTTGCATTTTCTCTAGGTGTTTCTGTGTTGATCTTTGGAGGAATATCTATGCAAGCAGGCCCTTCATCCTCCTGGCCATTGTGGCACTGGAAACAAACCATTCCAAAGTCCAGGAGATAAAATCTGAATTCCATTAGCAATGGAAAAAAGCACTTCTTCTGAGCGTAATTTGTCCTTTTTTTGTCGACCCAATGAAGGTCTCAATCCTCTTTCACTGAGAGAGGCCAAAACCCCAAATTGCTTCTCTTTTTATTTATCCAGACATTGCAGGGACGCAGGTGGCTAAGTTGTGTTGACTAAGAGACAGCTGTTCAGTCTCTTGTACTCTACTTCTGGCCTAGCAGGGAACTTGGGCTTCTTTTTTTATTCTCTCTAATAAGCAAGCAGCTCTGATGGATGCTTCTGAGTACCCACACAACATCTGCTACCCATTAGATATGGGAGTTCAGTGATGTTGTTTGTAAATCATGCAAAGGAGCCATGTGGTTTTCTAGATATTGCTGGATCACAACTCCCATCATTCTCTACCAGCATTGCCAGTGATGAGATATGATGGGTGTAGCTGTCCAGCAATCTGTGGAGGCCACACATTCCCCATCCATCATGGACTGTCAGTCTAAACTATGGTTGTGCCAGTGTGTAACTTTCTTGTTTGATTTATTTATTTCTATACCATAGATCTGAGAGCCACTGTGATGTAGTAGTTTGAGTACTGGACTAGTGCCTCAAGAGACCAAGGGCTTTTGCAGACTGCCAGAAACAGTGCAAATTTAACTGCCCTGGCTCAGTGCTAGGGAATCATGGGAACTGTAGTTTATTGTGGCACCAGAACTCTCTGACAGAGAAGGCTCAATGTCTCAGGAAAAAATACAATTCCCATGATTCCCTAGCACTGAGCCAGGTCAGTTAAACTGGACTCAATTTGCACTATTTCTGGCAGTTTGCAAAGGCCCCAAGGCTCCCCACTCAGTCATGGAGACTCAGGGCCTGAACAGACTGCAAGAAATAATCCAGTTTGAGACCACTTTAA